ACCCATTCAGTTTACAATAGATATGAAAGGCAAAACATTTGTGTATATTATAAAAAGAAATATAAAAAATGTATATGTAATATGTAAATATAATGTTTTATAAGTGATCATGTACCCTCTAAGGGGGGGGGGGGGGACCGCAGCACACTGAATTTCCCATTGAATGGCTGTGCAGAAGGGGTGTGTCAGGATAAACTTTATCATTGGAGGAGAGCACACCAAGTTCCCAGCACAGCTAGAAAACTGACCACGGTGTGTTCTGCTACTTAGTGTAGTCAGTTTTTAATAGGAAAGCAGAGGGACTGGCAGGAAACACCAAGCATTTGGACACAAAGGAAGCAATAGAAAGTGAGCAGGATACCTTTTCATACATGTACATAGTACAGCAGGCACATATCAGGAATATGAAATGTTGAGTTTTACATACTAAGCTTTATCAAACAACTGTACCTTCAGCGCAGCTGAGTGCAGCCTGTAATATTACATACTTACCTATCTCCCCATTCCAGAAATCTTCTCTATATGGCCTTATCTGGTGCCACACAGCCTTTCCTTTGAAACTGTGCCCACTGGGTCCTCTTCATAGTGCACATGTATGGAGCTGTCCTATTCATTCCAAAGGAGAGTCATAGTCATGGTGGCCTTCAACAGTCCAGTGGAGTACATCCCTTCTTTAGGAATGAATGGTGCCATGGCCAATAGGTACTATTTGCTGTGTACTGTACATAGTACATAAGTACATACAGTGTGTGCCTATGTATTTACGGTACTGTTTGACAGATTAATTGCCAATTTTAGTGGAAGCCAGGTTGTTTTTTTGGTTCTGTAAAGCAACTAAAAATTATAAAGGGAATCCAAGACAACATTCAGATGGTGGGATCTGAGCCCAGAATTCTGCATGGCAAGAGTTTTAACCACTTAGTCACCTTGCTTTCTACATTTATTTAGGCAACTTATGAATTGTCTAGTGAGCATTGAGCACATTCATCTTACTTCGGTGGGTCCGATGTATGTAATGTACAGTACAGAACGTAGGAATACTGTATATAACATTGAACATAGTTTATAGAGTGTGGTGGTCCAAAGTATGGAACATACAACATAGCATATAGAATGCAGGGGTCAGCAGCATGTAAATTACAATATGGGAATATGAATGTCCCAGCTTTGATGTCAGTGTCAGTAGGCATGCTGCAGTGATAGATGTCAGTGGAAGCAAGAATTCACTTTACAGTGCTGTCAGGGATTACTTATTTGATTGAGAGAATAGGCTCCTTGTCCTTTCCCATCAACTCTTGCTCTGCCAAGTGAGATCAGCTTTAGAGCTATACAGATCCTTATGGTCGCTCTGTAGTTTGTGCATTTTTGTGGGTAATATTGTGTAGTATTATACTACACCCAATTAGGGTCTGCCCACCCAGTCTCCTAGCAGAGTAGGGTGGTAAAGCAGAGGTTACAAAATGTCCCTTCCATCTTCTGTACCCTGAGCCTTAGCATGCTTTGTTTGGCTATGACATTTGATCTTGATTATTACTAAGGTAGCCAGTAGACTGTAGTCAGATGGGAATTGCACAAGACGGTTGGCCTAGGAGGGCAAGTGTTATAAATCGGACCCTGAGTGCCTTATGGAGTGCACAAGCTCTTGACAGCTTTATGGATAGACTGAAATGTAGATAATGCACACTGTGCTGGTGACTTTGAGAAATGGGACAATGATCCACTGCAACGAGAGAAAAAATCAATGAACCTTAAGACAATTCCCAAGCGGGGTTGAAGCTCAGGTCCTTTCCATCCCTGCTTCTTTCAAAGGACTATAAATGCATTGATTTTCATTATACCACTGTACACTTAACTTTCATTTTTCACTCCTTTGAGGGAAAGCATCTGGTGGGTTTATTAAAGGCAAAGATTGAATAGGAACAAGATTCGCTGTCAGTCGACAAGAGGTATTGCAGGTGACTCCATCTCATCCCATAATATAAACCTCTGGAGGGTTCTGTTTTTCTTTTCAAAGATTAAGTCTGACAATGATCTTGATTAGTCCTTGTGCATTAAAGATGTAGCTCCATTCAGAACTGCCATTGTCTTTGTTCACTGCTAAGTGCTTTTTTTCTTTATTTAAATGTTCTTTTTGTAAGCTTTTTTTATTTTATTCTATTTTTTGGCAGCCCAGAGTCTACATTTTTCAAATAGAGTAAAAATAGTTTAGACAGTGGAAGTTTTAATTTGTTGAGAAAAACTTTAACTTTTCAGGGTTAAAAAGTTTTAGAGGACATACTCACTGGTTTGGTCTGTGTGATCACCATACTATGAATCATGTGGAGAGAGATTATACTTCATTGCTGGCCTAAGGTGGCAATGCATGGATCGAAATTCAACCAGGGAACGGCCAAATTTCAATCCATGTATGGTCATACTGGTTTTACAGAAGTCATTCTGCTGATCAACTTTTGCCGAACGATCAGTGCTGTCGGCTATACCCAGCAACACTGATCAGTGTGTTCTGATGGTGAGGAAGGCTCCCAGTTTCAGAACACAATAGCAAAGCAGGAGTAATTTCCACATCCACAAAGAATGTGTGGATGGGGAAATCGGGTCATTTTTCCCCCTAAACCTAATGATTGAATGAAAAGAAAGATAATTAATGTTTGGCCAGATTTAGAGAAGACACAATCATGTAAATCCTGGTATCTGTGCAGTCTTTACTATGTAGTCCTACACCTTGTAATGTGCTGCAAAGTTACAGCGTTTCACTTTGATCATTGCCTGCAGCAGACTAATTACATCATTTCAACCTAGAGAAATTCACCTGACTGGTGCTCAAGGACTGGTATTTATGATACAAGCTTTTTTTAAAAACAATACTAGTGGTGCTTATCCTGATATGTCAGGAATGTCGCATTTATGCAGACATGTTACTATATCCTTGGCTAACCAAAAAAAAAAAGAAAAGACTGAAATATTGCATAGCAACAATATATGCAAGCGAACACTGCTTCATCTTGTTCAACTCAACGTCCATTCAAGACCCTTCAAAAATTGCTCAAAAAAAGATCAGAGAATTTAAAAAGCAACTCAAAAGAACCAAACACACCACATGTAAAAAAAGAGTCATATGGCATTAGGGTAATGGAAAAGTCTTTCCTCATCCCCTAGGGGTAGATCAGAGAATTTAAAAAGACTAGTTTTTGTAGAAATAGCCTGCAGAATATGCAACAACTTCACAATTTCAGATAAAAACGTAAGAGTTCATTGCTCTGTACCAGTTAAAATAATCTCTCGCTGCAGTATTATAACTTTCCCTGGAGGAAGAAGAGTACCTGTGACATCACATAACCTGACTGAAGATCCCATGGAAAAATATACAAAATACAAAAGAATTAAGGGTGCATGGGTATTCAAAAGAGGGTAGGGGAGGGGGGAAAGGATAATGGTGGGATGATCACCAAACCAGGAATCAGGTCCTATAGGAAAGTAACACGTTTTCAGGCCTTTTGCTGGGAAAGGGCAAATGTGAAATCTTTGCATTTTGCCTAGCAGTAAGTGCTCATTATCTCCTGGCATCCTGCCCTCCCTCCCCTGGAACTTCTAGGTTTCTTTCCCTCCTTGGTCTTGTTCCCCAGGTGGAGGGGGGAAATGTGGATGATCCAAAACCAGGAATCAGACTATAGGAAGTAACACTTTTCAGGCCTTTTGCTGGGAAAGGCAATGTGAAATCTTGAACCCTCCATGGCTTTTCAGCACTGGGCTTGTTGATTTGGCAGCAGTAAAGTGCTCATTATCTCTTCGTTGGCATCCTGCCCTCCCTCCCCTGGAACTTCTAGGTTTCTTTTCCCTCCTTGGTCTTGTTCCCCAGATTTATGTTTTGTGTTAAACACAGTACTTGTTTGATGGATATGCTACCTTGCCTGTGTGACATGCTATTTTCGATATTTTCAAGGTATTGTCCTTCTGTACATTGTCTTGTGTACTGTTATAGATGTGTTGTTAACTTCATTGAACCTAAAGTGTATCTCTAGGCAGCTAGGCTGGCAAAACCCCTTTTTTTTACTTTTGGATAGGGGAAGGTGGAGAAGGGTTTAGGCTTTTATTTATTTTAGTCTTTCAAGTTTTTATTGTTGTCAGTGTACCCATTGGGGAAACTCATTCCGAGTCTTAAAGCTGTTTTGCACCATAATGTAGCGCAGTTTCAATGAAAGAAACGTATGAAAACTAATTGTACCTGGGTCCATCCCAGATTGTAAGGTGGAATACCAAGAACAGAAAGTAAGGGTAACGTTCAAGAAAAAAATGTTTGGAGTTCTTTCCAGAACAAGTTGGGATTAAAGTGAAAAAATTTGTAAGGGGACAGTAAAAATAAAGCGTTTTGCCATTAACTAAATGTGGGGAAGGAGTCAACAGTTCTAGAAACAACTGTCTAAAGAAAAGGAGAATTTGTATCACCGTATACAAGAAAATTTGATATCCTGACTTCCTGGGTGCTAAAAATTCATTTATCTACTGCATTATGTTTTCTGGGATGAGTGATTGAACAGCGTGATCAGGCAGCTAAAAGAAATTCAAGGTAAATGGAGCCCATCAATGGTACATTGACAGTTGTAAAAAAATACAAGAGAAAAGCCAATAAAGCTAAGCAAAAAAAAGGCATCTAGGAGTTTTTAAAATGCAACTTCCCTACTTGGTAATCTATCAATATATTATGCAAAACTAAAAAAAATATAATTATTGTGCATTATGTAACATTACTATAGTAGAAAACTTTAAAAAAACTAGAGCCAATTGACAAATAAAAAGACCAGAATTAAAATTAAGCTTTTGTTTCCACATGTCAGTGTAATTTAAAAAAGACCTTAGGGCTCTACAATTACAAAACATTTGTAGGTGGTTTGGCCCCTGGTGGACTATTGCTTGACCACAGCTGGTGTAGTCTTCTTTAGCATGCAAAAATCCCTAAAATGAAAAAGAACCCAACATGTATTTGTGTCATTTATATTTTTCAGAAATCAACAGAGCAAATGAAGAAGGTCCCCACAATTATCCTAACAGTTTCTTACAAAGGAGTGAAATTCATGGATGCAGCAAATAAGGTGAGGACTCTGTTCTTTGCGTTACCTCAAAAGATCCAGTACCTCACTAAAATACTGAATTGCCGATATATGAAAACCCAATGTAACCCTTTTTATATCACAGGACACAAGTGCGTTAATTCTTAGAACACTGGGATTTGCACCATCTCAAGGTGATTAAACATGGCAAAAAGCAACGCATGACCCTGTCTAGCATAACCCCTCCCATTCCCAGTATTGCCTCAGTGTTTTGCTACTCTCTGTAGGTGATGGAACTGTCTCTTACTGCTGAGAGAGTCTCTCTGGGTCAAATGCACAAGAATTCTGCTACAACTGCATTTGTCTGCTGAGACTCATTGATTTTTAGCAGTAGCATTTTTTCAGATCAGCCCCTACAGATAGTTATATCCCAGAAAGACTGTACCTGGACCCTGGTGGCAAGAATGGGGAAGACCTCTAAGCTTCATTGGCGCTGGATTCCGTAGGTGGCACTCATCTTGGTAGGCAATTGCCTTGAGTAAGTTGGCTGGTGGGATGCTGTACAAGTCCAGGGCCACTGGCTGCTGAGGCAGAACCCAGTCCCTGACAACCCTGTAGGGTATGCCTGACCAGGTGCATGAGGAGAAGCTTGAACTGTGTGTTGGCTCTGCTATGTGTGATGTAAGTTCCTGTCCATAAATTTGATGTGCACAACCGATGTGGCTCTAAAATCTAATCTTTATTCAGTAAACCATAGCATAAAACGTTACAGGATCGAGCATCTGCAGGCTCAAATGAATGGAGGTCTGTTTGGGCAATAGTACCACTGTTTTTCTCTTTTCAATAAGTGATATAAGTTCCGCCATTTTTTTAGGGGTCCCTTGTGCTGTTCCTGATTCTGGGCATTTAGGGGATTGAGGTGTGGTCATTGGTTTCTCCACTGTGCCTCTGAGCTTCATTGTACCGGTTTGATGGGCAGCTCTAGACGGTACTGGACCTGCATGCTGGTGCTGTGCGTGCTACCTGGATTAGATCACAGGGTGGCCATTTTGCGTGTAACATTATGAATGTATAGCCCACCCGCCTGTGCTAATGCACAGGTGTGGCTGAGAGGACACACTGCACATGTGCAGGTGCCATTTTGGAATTTGGACATTTTACAACAGAGCACCAGCTGAGTAATACATCTGCTGCACAGCTCCATGCAGTACTGGCTGCACCCGTACACCAGCCTTTTTGGGTTGTGTTTGCTTCTAACTCCTTGGTCAGAGTCCTTGTGCAAGGAGTGGCACTAACTGTACCACCAGTTCACTTCCTTCTAACTCTCTGGGACCTCAGTTTGGTGTTGTCATTCTTTTAAAGGCCATAGTTTCGGCCTAATTGTCTAATAGTTTCAGCCATCTTCTGTCAAGCAAGATTGTCTTTCTCAAGGTTATCAGCTCAGTTAGGAGGGTGTCTGAGCTTGCAGCTTTGTCCTGCAAGGAACCTTTTATTGTACTTCACAAGGACAGGGTTGCTCTGTGACCACAAATTTCATTTCTGTTTAAGGTGGTCTTGGCATTTCATTTAAAGCAGGACATTGTGTTGTCTTTCATTTGTCCAGCTACAAACATTCTAAGGGATTTCTCTCCACTGCCTGTGTGTGGTCAAGACTCTGCAAGTATACATTGCAGCCACTGCTTTAATTCTTCAATCAGATCATTTGTTTATGTTGTAAGAAGGCCCCCAGAAGAGACAGGCTACTTCTGTATCTACAATTGCTAGGTGGAGTAAAAAAATTGTCACCAAGGCTTACAATCTGAAAAGTAGGGTCCCTCTCATTCCTTCTTAACCAGAGGTGTTGGAGTGTTGTGGGCTTTTCAACAATAGGCCTCAATTTCCCAGGCCTAAAAGAAGGCCACCTGATCCTCTGCTTTTACATTCTCTAAGTTTTACATGGTGGATGTGTAAACCTCAGCAGACACCAGCCTCAGTTGCAAAGTCCTACAGGAGGGCCTTCTCAGTTATTCATCTTTGTTGGATTGCTTTTGTGCCAATGGTATAAGAATTTAAGAATTAACTCTTCTCTGTCCTGTGATGTACTATTAAGAAAATGGGATTTTTGACTTTTCCCTTTCTTGGAGTACATCACAGGATACACGTCTCTCCCTTCTGATTCCAATCTCTATTGCTTGTTTACAAAACTGAGGCAATGCTGGAAATCAAGCTTCGCAGTTTGCCAGTGTCTAATCACCTGAAGGTAAAGCATAACCCAATGCTCTAAGAGATAACTCACATGTGCCCTGTGATCAGTTGTGTATTTTGCTGCCCTAGGCAAGACTAAAATCAGAAGCCCCTCCATCTAAATTTGTATTACTCCTTCTTGTTTAAGATCCAGCCCTTCAGGACAGGATAGGAGGGGCAGAGCATGACAATGGGGGTAGCATGACAAGAGGGGAGCAGCAGGACAGGAACAGGCAGCAGGATAGGAGGGGGGCAGTGGGACAAGTGCAGGGCAGCAGGACAAGAGGGAGGCAGAGTGAAAGGGTGGGCCTCAGGAGAGGGGGGGCACAGGACAGGTGGTGGGCAATGAGACAGCAGGGGAGCAATGGGACAGGTGGGGGGGCAGCGAGACAGGAGGGGGCAGCTGGACAGGTGGGGGGCAGCGGGGACAGGGGGAGCAGCGGGACAGATAGAGGGCGGCGGGACAGGTGGGGGGCAGCATGATGTCGTGGGCGCAGGACAGGAGGGAGCAGCGGGAGAGGTGAGGGGGCAGTGGGACAGGTGGGGGGCAGCAGAAAAGGAGGGGGGCAGTGGTACAGAAGGAGGGCAGCATGAAGGAGGCAGCAGGATGGGGGGGGAGCAGGACAGGTTGGAGGCAGCAGGACGGGGGGGAAGGGGCAGCATGACAGGAGTGGGGAAGCAGCAATCCTCCATGCTCTTACCTGTCCAGCAGCGGCTCCTCCAGATGGTGTCAAGATCTGGTGCCAGGATCTCCAGCGACAGCTGCAGCAAAGAGCAGGGGGGCTTCTCCACCCTGACCTCGTCCTCTTCTTCCTACACTTCCCCAGGCCCTTTGCTGGCACTCCCTGACTTCACTCATCCTGCACAACCCGGCGCATGCTGCGGATCCTGACTGGAGCCTGCTTGCACAGCCCTGTGCACACCGGGGATCCGACCACCAGTCTGCCCTACTCTGTAGCCTGTCCCCCTACTTGTGTGTTGGCTTTTCCCCTACTGATGGCGGCCCTGCCACTCACATGTGTCCCTTCTGCCTGAGGGTAGCGCTGCCCTTTGTAAAATGCAACCCAAGGAAAATGCCTTGTTTGCCTTGCGGTAGATACGCCCCTGCCTGTGATGTACTCCAAGAAAGGAATTTTACAGATAAGTCACATGCCTTTTTCTCCCACATGCTGCAATGTCACTAATGTGTCCTTTGACACACCATTGACCTTTGGATCTATTACCTTCCACCTGCATCCCCCAGATCCCCAACCAGGTAACCTAATGTTTTGCAGGTGTTACAGAACATATTTGGGCCTGCTCTGCATGCAGATGCAAAAGATAGCATTTGACAACATCTGTCTACACAATTCTTAGACCAGAATTTCTCAACCAGGGTTGCTTGGGTTCCTTGAGTAATGAGCAATTTCTGCCTCTAAGTAACCACTGACACCAATATTCTTTTTGGCTATCTTTAAGGGTGGACGGGGGCACTCTTCCCACTGACCAATACTGCAAGGAGCAGTATTCCCACTGACCATCAAAAGAAAGTGCATTTGTCCCAATGACCACAAATATAAGGAGCATTCTTTCATTCACCACAACACTGAAAGTTATTTCAAAGGTTCCACCATGCTAAAAAGGTTAAGAAAGACTGCCTTAGGCTAGGTTCACATCTATGCATGTGTGGTTGATACGTTTTTGTGGCGTGATTTCCAGTGCATTTTTGTGTTTTTTCATGCTCTTTTATGATGCGCTTTTATTGCGTTTTGCATTTTTTGGGAAGTGTTGATCTTGCTATGAGGAGGTGTCTGTTGTCCTGCAGGAAAATGCACCTAAAAATGCATGTACATGTGTTTTTCATGTGTTGTGGATGCAATTACAATGAACTCTATGGAGCCAAAAACACATCATTCTACATGTAAAAAATTACCTGCACCTTTCCAAAAAATGTATTGCAGAAAAATCCATAGATGTGAATGGGTCCCTTAGGAGACAAGGTTAAATGGTAAAGGAACTAAAAAATGCATACAGTATATGTGAACCTACACACATGGCTCAAAATACTTTACATTGTAAATATAATGCTTTCCAGCAACAATCTGACTTAAAGACACAGGGATCTTTTAGCAAGATAAAGCCTCAACATGGATGGTTGTCACATCTTTTATACACAGTTTTTATGAATCATCACAAAAGCAGATACAGCGATGTTACTGTATAGCATCACTACAGTGTGCCACTAGCCCAGGTAGATTTACAAAGAACATGTGGCTGCCTGTTTTGAATTCTTTCTGCAGTGGTCTGAAGTAGTTCTTTCATTGCTGATAGTAGGCTGCTGATTTCCACATCTGAAAATACTGAGTGCCTGACTATTACGCTGAGTCTTTGGCTTCAGCATTTGTATGAATCAATGACCTTGAAAAAGTGCAGAGATAAGGAAACCTGACTTTTCATTTGCTGTATGAGTGTTCCAAGTCAGTGGCTAATAAGTATTTAAAACGGAGTTCTACATACACTGTACAAAAATAAAAGTCAGCAGCTACAAAAACTGTAGCTGCTGACTTTCAAAAAACCTGACTTTTCAAAAAACCTGTCCCACGATCCCGCAGTGTCCTCCCCGCAGCCTGTTTCACCAGCCGTCTGCTGTTCCAGGTGCCGGCATCTTCAGTGTGGGCACCTGACTGTGACAGCTTGCGGCTTCACAACCGGGTGCCCACTGCGCATGCATGAGTAGTGCTGCACTTCGTGAATGGCCCCATAGTCTTCTGGGACCTGTCACGTGTCCCAGAACACTACGGGGAAGAAGGGTAGGAGGGCAACTTCCGCTTCCAATCGCC